ACATGACCTTACCTCTTCTAGTGTGCCAAACAAAGACAGATGGGTTGAATAACAAGCTTAAATCAGAAGGCATAGACCACCTACCTCCAAATAAGGGGTTTAATAACAAGCTATGTATTTTGTTTTTCTTGGATGCTGAATGCCATTTTATTCGCGACGTTTAAATAATTCATTCAATTTGATTTACCACACTCTTTGTTTGTTAATTATGTTAATACTTAAGGATGGCCAATATTGTTATCAATTATTGCCATTAGAAATTTATATCTTCATATATTTTAGCTTTGTATTTTATTATTCTTGGCAACTTAAGGTTAGCTTGTTCATGTCATTTAAATCATTCATTTCATTGCTATATTATTTATTCATTAATCATTTTGATAAGTGAGATAACCGGTGATTGTCACCGGTTATTTGGATTTTCATCAATATGTGTTAGTGAAAAAAATTTAGGTAGCTTTCTCACATAGCATAATTCACCAAATTAAACTAGTAACTAGGTTTTTATTATTGGGAGAAAGACAATTCAGCCCAGGGTCAGAATTTGTAGGCCTAAAGTACTGTTGGGGTAGGTGCCAGCTCGGAATTGGTGCCAATTCACGGGCATTCGTTGGTGCATAGAGTGTGGGTTGTTGACATTTTGAATGTTTATAGCTCTGCAGTGGAAATCAGAAATCTGCATTAGGCCTGTCCGTACTTTTCCGTTTATTATTTGGGTATTCCCCATTTAGGTTGTCTTATAGATATTCCCTTGATTAAACTGCTGGGGGCAAAGACAACCTTCTGGTTCTGACTTGGAAGTGCAAATGAACAAGGTGGACAATATAGATTTTAGCTGAAATTTTCTACTGAAAATTCTGGTGTATATTCTCCCTTTAGTTTGAGAGAAAACAAGAAGAATAAATTGATAAATACCAGCTTTATGTATAGCAGACATGTAGGGACCATAATCAGTCAAGTTTCATTAACAAGGTTATAGATGGCTTTTCTCCCAACATAGAGTCAAAATCTATAGAAATTTAACATGGTATATGGAACCATAATCAACTGAGTTTTATAAACAAGGTTGTAGATGGTTTCTTCCTTCCCCTACACAGGATCAAGATATAGTTTAATTTTGTAGATTAACATTGTGTAGGGAACCATAATTAGTCAAGTTTCATGAACAAGGCTGTGCCCCTATGTCAGATTAATTTTCTATGTAGAGAAACAAGAAAGAAAAAAGAAAAAAAAAAGAGTAAGAGGGTCAGAAGATAGAAGCATAACCCTCCTTTTTACAGAGGAGTTTGTATTGAATGTGATAGTGAAGAAACGGAAGGGGCTTATCTTCATTCCCACCTGACGTTTCTTCCTTATTCCTCTTTAGTTATCCAAATTTCCCCCTTGTTTTTCTCTTCTTGTTTGTCTCTTATAGTTTCTGGAACTTTAGTTCATGAAATAGTTCAATATGAAACATTTTCTCCTAAACATCCCTAGAGTTAATCCACCTATCCTTGGAATATCGCCAAAGCATTCCTAGATGGCTAGATCTACACACTTAATCCCAAAACTTAGCTTTTGCATTCATTGTAGGTATCCTGACCCCATACTTTCTATGAATACAATAATCTTCAAAGAGTTTTGATTCCATTTCAAATCTTGTACAAATTTACCTAGCAGAGCATTGCTCATCATGAACAACTGTTTCAAATCTGGCTTCTCTGGCTTGTAAGCCTTAGGCTATAAGACTACTTGAACAACATGTTAGTGCTTCTTGTTGTGGCCATCTAAAGCAATCACCTCAACTTTATTAAGCTCTGTGGCATAAGTGATCAAAGTACAGTGAGAGCACTAAAGTGTCAAGATTTAAAATTTTTAGAGAGCAAGAGCATCTTCAGAGCATATAATCATGTATGCCTACATATATAAAGGGTTGCAATATTATGTTTAAAAGCAATTATAAATGCCATAACTTTTCTTTTTGTTATTTAAATAATAATAAACATTAAATAATAATCTATTTTCTATACAAAGAAGAGAAATAGAGGTTCCTTTGGTTTCTGCTAACAGAACTTCATATGTGGTGTGGAGAATGGACTATAGAGGGTGGATGCCATTTAATGTGGGTGGTATACATTATAAATAAAAGTTGCAATGGGCCCACTTAAATTAATCTTTGGCTACAAGACCAAAGTGCCACCTGCTGGAGATAATACAATGGGAAGGCTTCAATTAAACTTTTTCTTACTGGCAAACATGGTGAGAGCACGCTACAAGTCCCGATCTAAAGCTTATGGAGTGTGGTCTCCAATGAACTTTGTTCTCAACTTGTAAGTCCGCTTACCAGAGGGTCATTGCATCACTCTCATCTCACAGATTCTGGAATAAAGAGGGAGAAAAGAAAGTAAACCAGTACATCAATAAGGAACTAGGGATTAGAGTTCTTTAGCCAGCAAGTTTATTTTTAAACTTCTCCATTATTTAGTCCTGAATGGCTGAGGACCTATGTTTTAACAACCTACACCTAGGGGAAGGCCCAAATGGGATAATGACTTTGCAAAGTAATGCTCCTTTCAACTAAATATAGTGGGTTGGTCCCTCGAAATTTTTATTTAGGCTTTACATTCGAAAAAATAGAAGGTTAAACCTTAGAACCAATTTTGCTTGTGGTTTGGTTTACAGGATTTGTGCTTAGAGGACAACATAAAATCCAGAGATTTTGGAGACAATGGAATGCACCAAAAAACATCATGGATTCATGATCTCTTCTCACAAGATTTCTTGAGATGCCACACTAAAAGAATGAAGTTGTTATGGCATAACACAAGGAGAGGACTGCAACTACTCTATAGAGCATATTGGAGGAAAGAAATGCAGGGTTATTTGAAACTAAATAACTTGAGGTGAAAGCATTAATTGAGCTGATAAAAATTGCACTTGGTATTGGTGTATAAGGAGTTTCAAGGAGTCAAAATGGATGACCTATTAAGAGGGTGGCATATTGTGGCTAATGTATTGAATTGGAAACTTCTGGTGGCCATAAATTGGCTACCTCCAGAAGCTGGAATGTACAAGTTCAACTTTGATGGTTGCTGTTTAGACAACCCAGGCGATTCAGGTGTGGGAGGGGTGATAAGGGATGAAGGAGGAAAACATTTTGCTATACTTTTCAGTGGCTGTAGGTGTTGGTAATTCTCTGAGAGCAGAAATGGTGGCTATTACTCAAGGCCTCAATTTGATAGCACAACAGCATTGAAGAGGGCAGACTAATTGCTTTATTTTCTCGGCCAGTAGGAATAGGGAATTCACTAAGAGCTGAAGTGTTGGCTGTACTCAAGGTTTAAGGTTGGCTAAGCAGATGGGATTTTCATCTAATTGAGGTAGGAGATTCTAAGCTAGTAATTGGTTGGATGCAATCACAAAGTATGGGAGTCTGGGTGTATAGACAGTTCGTGAGGGAAATAAATTGGCTAGCAAGGGAGATAGGAGCCTCCTTTAAGTGGGTTAGAAGGTCAGCTAATGGGCTAGCTGATATGTTGGCAAAGCAAGGGACTACTAGAGAAAACCTGTTTTGGGCAATGCTGTAACTCAAGAGTATTCCAATGGGGTCAACACCCTATAATTGGGTGGCTGATAGTTGTAATTGTGTTTAATTATCTTTAATGAAAGTAACCCAAAAAAACAGCATTGAAGAGATGTGGTGATGGAGTGAGATTGCATTTGCCTATTAGCTATTCATGGCTTAACAGTGAGGAGGAAACACCTTGGAGGTTCAAATCTATGGTTCAGGAAGCCAAATTTCTTGGAAGAAGCCTGAACTGCTTGTTCAGGTGGACTCCTAGATTGGTCAACACAGTGGTAGATACTTTAGCTAGAGCAGGGGTAGCCAGGGAAGGTTGCATATGGGGTATTCCAGGACGTTGGATTGATCTGTAATGTAATGTTTTCTGTTTTTGTGTTGTTGTATGGACAGCTCAAGGCTGGAAGTGTATTGTTCCTGCTGTTAATTCTGAACAGCCAGGGCTTTTCTCATGGTGATGAATACACTTCATATCAGCTAATTATCAAAAAAAAAAATCAGAGATTTGGTCCCTCACCTTTCCCATTTTCAGCTCTCTTCACAATTCTGTTCAAGGTTTTGGTTAGCTATAATGAAATGGGATGTGAAGAGTGGTATTGGATGGAATGGGAAGGCGAATAGGCCATGCTTGGTTCAGCTCTCATTCTTACTCATTCTTTCCAATAATAAAATTCTAGAATGGACAAAAATGGGTAGAAATGGGCAGAATGAAAATGTTGCTATGAACCAAACACTTTTTTCCCAAAAAATGATTCTATTTGTGGCAAGAATGAAAATAAATTTTGAGTGTTTGGTTACAAATTTAATTTTCGTTCATTTTTCATCAATCAAAATAATAATATAGGTATACATATAATACTCATTAGCCAGATAAATGGTGGAAACAAGCAAGACTCATACTAACAAAACACAAATCAACCATGTGGGCCCCACATTAATAATACAAAATATAAAAAGAAAAAAAATAACAAACTAGAAAAGCTTTTGCATTTATTTGCATAGAGAAAATGTAAAAGAAAGTTTAAAGGAAGAAATTAGCACCTATTTAAAACTAATTAATAGGAAATTAGTTTTCATAATTGAGTAGGCAATTGTGTAGATGAAGAAAATAGCTTGCTACTTTCAAATAAAGATAGAATTTAAAAATTGTAAAATTAAAAATAAAATTAATAACACGAAGTACAAAAAATGTCCAACAATTTCATCAAATTGACAATAGTATTACTCAATAAAGATAATATATTAAAGAAGGTCATAAAATATAATAAAACATCATATAATCGTGCCTCATATTGCTCATTTCCATTTTTCAAAGAAGCTCTTTGCCGGCGGTATAAACTGTCGGTATAGATTTTTATCGGCTGATGGTCGGCGGTCAATGCTCGCTGGCATAAGTTTTCACGATAACAGCTGATAGATAGTTGATCGTTGGCCATCCTCTGGTAAAAGTCTATGTTGGTGATTTTTGAGACCTAGACCAACGGTTTATGACCGCTGGCATAGAACTTTGAAGAATGAAGATGGGCAACATGGAGCACTATTGTTTTTAGTTCTGCAAGTTACCTCAATTTTTGTGCCATGGACTCATTTTTCATTTTAAAATGAATGAGGCCTATGGCAAGAATTTTGTAGCCAAACGGCCCAAACACTCTTATGCAATTCATTCTTGCCCATTTTTGCCCAGAATGAGTAGAATTGAAAGAATGATACTCATGGCAGCAGGCCAAACATGGCCTAAATTGCTTTCCACATTGCCTCTCGAGCTTCTTTAAAAGATTTTCATTATCCAACTTATGAGAACCAATAATGTTCATTTTTGTTCAGCAAAAGATCAAGGAGGTTTTAGCAATGTGACCATAAATCCATTTACTGCATCAGGTACAGGTAGTCGGTAGTCCAAAACGTAGGAACCCCATGCACTGTTCAGTGTTGACTTAAACCTATTATTCTAAGCTCCTAAATAAACAAGGTTTGTAAATCCTTTTTTATTTGAATACCAAGTGCTTTATCCAGATTCCTGAAGTTCTCTCTGATCTATTCCACACGTTTTTATGGGTTATGATGCCTTTTTTTTGGGGGGGTAAGAATGGAATGTGATGATTATAACTCATTTAATTTGTGCATTAACATTCATTCACTTGGATTTTTAAATCAGATACATTCCATTGTTGTGGGCGACATTCACTTTTCCTCAAAGTCTTGGCATCTTAGGCGGGAAATCTGGGGTTTCAACTTACATTGTTGGCATGCAAGATGACAAAGCGTTCTATCTTGATCCACATGATGTTCAAGCGGTATAGTGTTATCTTATGTGATCACTTTTCTATCTGGTTATTTAAACGTGTCTGAATTTGATATGGTAAATCACAATCTCTTTATAAAAACACAGTGCTTGATTTGCATGAAGGTGTTGAAACTTGAAAACTGCATTTAACCGGCTTGTTGCATTTTGGCCACTTCTGGCTTCCTCAGTTCAGATGAGCTCTGTGCCCACCATTTTTTACACTTTTTACAAGCTATTAGCAATTGAAAGCTTCTAAATTTTTATCTAAATGTGCTAGGAAATAGGTTTATTTTCATGACTGGAGTTTGTTAGGCTGACAATGAACAGATATTGCCAAGGGAACATTTTGTTTCAGCAACCAAATTATACGCTCTCACAGCTAGATTTGAACGCCTTCAACCAAATGGTTCATTTACTTAACCCAAGCCAACAACAGATTTTTTCTTTTATTCCTGAACCAACAGTATATCAACCTTGTTTTATATAAAAAAGGAAAACTAACCCCATGTAGCATGCTTGGGTTTGACAGTGAGGGTCTCCTTCCCTGTAGCATCCCATGAATCTGTTGTCATTGTGGCAGGCAGCCTCCCTTTTGTACCTTCAGGTGTTTGACTTCATGTAAAAGGAGGAACATGGAGAATTTCTGAAAGTGGATCATGCCTCTCTTTTCAAATCTTGTGACACCTATATCTGTCTCATCCATTGAGGTTTGCTTTCCAAATTAAAGCCAAATAGGAAAGTGATTTGTTTTCCTATTGAGTATCATTTTCCCGGGAAACCATTGATTTTCCTTGTTTTTAATGCAACCATATGCAACCTAAATCTCATAGCACTCCCCCTACCTTTTCATTTGATTTGGTTTTTTAAATTTGGACTACTAATTATTGTGAGTGTTTTTTTTTTTTAATAATTGAAGAGGAATTTTATTAGGAAAATATGAGAACTGTTATAAGCATCCCACTGAGAGGCACGGGTTCTTGTAGCACCAAATGATTGAGCTCGGATATGTTAACCAGCCTACAACAATCTTGGAGTCTCCTCCAATTTGAAGGTTTTCAACACCAAGTTGATTAGCAATCTGAATACCTTGTAAAGCTGCCAACAACTCAGCCCTATTTGAGTCTCCTATTCCCTTTGGGCTCGAGTACAAGGCTAAGATATTACCGTCCTTATCTCTCTAAACCCCTCCTATACCTGAGGGGCCAGGATCGCCTTGACTGCTTCCATCAAAATTCAGTTTTACACAACCTTCCGGTGGCGGAGTCCATACTATAGAAGTCCTTTCTTTCTTGAGGGAGCTATTAGCCACCTCTAGCCAGTTCCTTCTAAAGTCATCAAAGGAGAACAAATGGAAAGATTTCTGAAGTTCTCAACCAATGCATTGCCCTTGTAAGATGCACTCTTTGATATCCGGGAGACTTCATTCATTTTTTTGAAAAATTCTTGCATTTCTTTCCTCCCAAATTGTCCAAAGTGCAGCTGCTCTTATACATTTCCACATAATCCTCCCTCTTTTTGTGGGCCATACAAAGGCCGATGGGTTGAAAAGCAGACTTACATCAGTGGGTAAATTCCACCTGCAACCCAATAAGGCAAAAATCCAATCCCAAATAGCAACAGCAAAGGAGCAGGAAATTAGTAAGTGGAAGCAATCCTCACCATTAGCTTTGCAAAGAATACACCAGCTAGGGGACAAGCACATAAAAGGCTTCTTCTTTTGTAGGCAGTCTAGAGTATTGATTTTCCCCATAAAACACTTCCCAACAACACAAGATAATTTTTTTTTGGGCCCAAAGCTCCTTTACCGGAAAAACCGACTGAGGGGAGGAAGAACAGAGGGCTTTCAAAAAGGAGGCACAAGAAAAGGAGCCTTTTGGGTGGGGGGGACCAAAAACAAGATAATTATCATTGAGTGTTTGCCCCCAAGTGAAATAAATCCTTTCTTTTCAGAGAACCTTCCATGCTGTGCTTCACTACCTTAAGATTCCTTTAGTTTGATCTTCTAGGACCTTGTTGACAGTTGTTCATGTATTCAGGTTTAGTACCATAAGGGTACTGTTGGAATTTCTCCTATGTTTATATTGTTCGACTGTACTAGTATAAATAATAAAATCATTCTTTCGCCCCCTAAGTTCTAGAGGGCTTTCAGTCGCACGACTCACCTCTCTTCTCCTCTCCTCTCCTCTCTTCACTTGCTCTTGGTCAACATGGTATCAGAGCAAGTCGTCCAGGCCTGAAGGGTGATGTCAAGCTAACTACTGTTGCATCCAGTGCTGTCTCCAATCGAACTCCTAATCTAGTGAAGTCAGTTCGACCTAGAAGTTACAGAGTCTTTTCGTCTTCCAGTCCAGAAATTGCTCCTTCTGTCTGCTCGACTATAGAGAGACTATTGTTTGCAGTTTGTAGAGGGTGTTTTGTCTTCAGAAAGGCTATCATCTGAAACTAAAAGAAGTATTGCTCATCTTCTGTTCGGCTGCTTATTGTTTGAGGATTCGCAAAAGGAGTTCTGGTTTACAGTCAAGGAGTTCTAGTTTACCATAAGGGAGACTATCATCTGAAACTAAAAGAGGTACTATCATCCTTGTCTGTTTGGCTACCCTACTGTTGTCTGTTCGACTGCCTACTGTTTGATGAATTGTTCGGTTGCCCTACTGTTAAGTGACTGTATTCCTCAACACAGTAACTGTATTCAAACCTTTTTTTTGTTGGTATTGTGGACTGTTGATGGTCTGTTTAGCCGATTGATTGTCTGCTCAATATTAATCTTATTGATTGACTGTTCAGCTACCCTATTGATCTCCTTGACTGGTTAGCTATCAGGCCTACTAATTAGGTCATTCAGACCTGTTCTTC